ATAAATAAGTTAACTGGTTTCCTATTTAACAATTTGATGTGTTTATAGCATTAGTTGATAATTTATAAGACAAGAGCTACTTGTGCATGGCCAGATCTATAATAGAGATTTATTTTGAAGTCTGTAGTCCATTCACTTTCTTATTTTCCTTGATAAATATTTTAAAATTAATTTTATTATTAAAGTATCAGTTTGAGAAATATTTACATGTAAGTGTTCATTCTGAAAGGCACAGAGGTGATATTCCCATAGCATTTTTTAATTTAGCATTGCTATTTAAACATCTCATATGTAAAAGCAATGTCCTTTTGATCTGATTTTAAGCTGATATAGAACAAAGGCAGTCTATGACTATTTCTGTGTTTTGAGATACTCCATGAAGCCTCCTATGGTGGTTAAGTTTGTGTGTCAACTTGGCTGGGCCTGGTTGAGTGGCTGGGCAGCTGGATGTACTTATTCACCATGGTGAAGTTGGTAATTAACTCCATGGTGGAATCTATTGGAGCAGCTGAGTAGCTGCTTTGGGTATGTGGCTGCTTCCTGTGTATAAGAAATAGCTTTGGAAATGGTCTCTAGCTTATGGCACGCTTGAACCCTTGATGTAGTCATGGCGTTGTTCAGTGGTCTGCCATGCTCTGCCAACCTTGGGACTTTGAATGGACTTGAGTTAATGGCCTGCCATATGGTTTGATAACATGCGGACTGTGTCTTTTTACTTGTCAACCTTGGGCTTGTCAGTCTCAGCAGCCAGCAGCTGTGTGAGTAAACAAAAGCCTCTAGCTTCAGTGGGCCGAGAGCAGGAGGTGAAGCTGAAGCCCAAGGCTGAGGGGCTTTCATCCGGCCCTTAGAGCCTGTCAATTTAAACTCAGACTTAAAGCCTCTAAACTATGAGAGAATAAACTCCTGTTGGTTAAAGCCATCCCATTTGTAGTATATTCCTGTCAGACTGGCACTAGGTAACCAGAATGCCTCCTTTCTCCCAGCTATATTAAAGAGTAAATTTAATGAAATCTCATCTATGAATTATTCACACCTTAATGTAATTAACGATCAAGTAGCCTTTCCCCTAATAACTATAGGATATAGTTTATTGTCCTCCACTGTCCTTTTAAGTTTATTTAATGGTGAATACTTTTTCTGCCTCTGGGTAAAAATTCAGAGAGCCCCACATCTGTTCTCTTCAATCTTAGGCTATACAAACAGATTGACTGTGATAATTAAAAGTGTCCAGTCCTAGGTAATAATCCTAACTTTTAACTTAATTTAAAGTTGAGTTTTTTCTCCCACCCCCAGCTCTAAACAAACAACAAAACAACATTGCCATCAAGTCATTTCTGATTCATAGTGACCCCCAAAGGGTTTCCAAACCTGTAAATCTTTACAAAAGCTGAATGCCCTGTCCCTCTCCTGTGGGTTCAAACCGCCATTCTTTGGTTAGCAACACAGTGCCTCAGTCACAGCACCACCAAAGCTCTTTCCTGTAGCTATTTGTTGTTGTTGTGTGCCGTCGAGTCGGCCCGACTCATAGCGACCCCTCCTTGGGTTTCCAAGGCAGTATCACTACAGAAGTAGATTTCCCAACCTTCCTTCTGAGGAGTGGCTGGTGGGTTTGAACCACAGTCAAGTGCCTTAGGCACAACGCTACCAGAGCTCCTTCCTGTAGCTGTAGCCTGCTATAAAAGGGAAACCTACAGTTGAGGTAGGGGACATATTTCACCCTTTCCTTTTTCTACCTTGTTGTTCTTCTCCTCCCCCAGCTTGATAACCAGAATTTTTTCCTCTTAAGAGTTGGGACATGAGAGATAGAAAAGAAATATGAGAAGCAGAAATGTTCTTACATACAAAAAAACCAACCTCATTGCTGTCAAGTCGGATCTGATTCAGAGTGACTCTTCCTTGGGTTTCTGAGGCAGTATCACTATGGAAGCAGATCGCCCAAACTTCCTTCTGAGGAGTGGCTGGTGGGATTGAACTGCCAACCTTCTATTTAGTAGTCAAATGCCTCAGGCACTAGGCCACCAGAACTCCTTTTGCATACATGGTGCTGTGGTGTTGATTTACCATCTGCATCCTCTGGGTTTGAAAGGAATTTAACACTTAGAATAGTAGGAAAAATAGTAATAACTATCTGTGTCATATTTATTATTTTTTTAATGTTTTCAGTCATTTTATGACTATTACTATAGATGTAAGTGTAACAATATAATGAGTATAAATTTTAAAACTTTAAGAAGAATGAAGCATAATCAAATTTTTATTCCATATTTTCCTGGTTTTGAATGTATATATATCTGAAAGGGACAATGTCTTCCAAATGCAATTTATTGATCCTCTTCTGTGCATTTATCTTATAAATGCTAATTCCACATTTCAAATATATCATTAAGTTCGACTTTTTTTTTTGCATTTGACATCAAAAATTGGTGTCTTTGGTTGAAATTTTTAGAGGATAAATACTTTCTCCATAATTATAAAACATTTTTAATTTTAGATTTTTAAGCAGATTTTATAATGATGAATTGAGTTTTAAATTCCTACATCATTTATTTAGTTTTAATCACTTCTATATAAATGAAACACTTTCTTTCATCATCTACCCATTTAACAACAGTATCAAGTACAAAAACAACATGAAAGATGAAAGACTACTGCCATATTTCCTTTTAGAAAAATAGGTTGGTCTAGATTCTTGTTGCAAAGTATTATGTAATGAAGTCCTCTTATTGAGTGACTACTTAGGTAATAATGCCATACTATATTTATTTCCGGGAGCTCTGGTAGCATAGTGGCTAAAGCACTTGACTGCTAACCAGAAGGCTGGCGGTTCAAACCCACCAGCCACTCCTCAGAAGGAAGGTTGGGCAATCCTACTTCCATAGTGATACTGCCTCGGAAACCCAAGGAGGGGTCGCTATGAGTCGGGGCCGACCCGACGGCACATAACAACAACAACAACATCTTTATTTCTTTATAAATGCATTGTTCATTCATTCATTATTGAGTTTAAGAAAATATATTCAGGATAGACTAATTTTATGAGATTTTGATTTTCAGATTAATTTTATCATTATTGGAATCCAGAGTGACAAATTCTTCTTACGTTAATAATTGTGAATAATCTGTGAATGTTCTTTTATCATTATGGATAGAAAATGAAAAATTCTGAACTCTTAACTGTGATCAAAGGGAACTAAAACCAAACTGCAAATATGGTATTTACTGCCTTATTTATTACCTTTGTGAAAAATGATATATTTTTGAAGGATGCTGTGAAAAAAAACTTGAGGGATGAGGCAGTAGTGACAATTTATTTCACTATTACCTCATCCTTCTGCAAAATTCCATCACTCTGTCATTTTCTAATTAATATAGTCTTTTAATTTATTTTTTTTAGTATAGTTGAGAATAATTGCTGAATGATGAAAGAAGTCCCAAGATGATGAAATATAGAAGGGAAAAATAAGAGATAGGTGAAATAAAATCACTAAGATCCTGTTATACAAGGGTTAGCGGCCTGAGAGCTAAATCTGGCCCACTCTGTTTTTGTAAATAAATATTTATTTGAACACTGACACAGACATTCATATGAATACAGTTTGTGGCTGCTTTTGCACTACAATAGCAGAGTGGAGTAGTTGTGACAGAGACCATATGGTCCACAAAAAGGAAATTATTTACTGTCTAACCTTTTACACAGAAAGTTTGCCGACTCTTGCTGTGATGTATGTTGATTTATAGCAGGGTCTGGTGGATCCACACATGAATTTCAAGAGTTTTCTTCTTTTTTTTTTCCCCCCTTAAGTAAATTTTCTCTTTGTTTTCTGGAATACTACTCCTCGTGAATACTTAGAATGATTTAAAGATTAACTTAAAAACTAATATTGGAGCCAATGGACTTGATAGTATACTGAGGGTTAAAGCTTAACCTCTCATGAGTACTTTTGTGATTTCTTCAGATATCACCCCTTCCCATCCCTGGGGATATCTCACCTATTTTCTTTGAGGGTGTATGAGCCTCTGTTCCAGCTGATCTCCTTTTCCCTCCTACAAACCCAAACCCACTGCCATCGAGTCAATTTCAACTGATAGCAACTCTATAGGATGGAGTAGAACTTCCCCTTAGGGTTTCCAAGGCTATAATAAATCTTTACAGAATCAGACTGCTTCATCTTCCCCCCACAGAGCAGGGAGGCACAGAACTTATTCCCTCAGAGGAATCTAGTAATACTTCTAGATACTCTCTGCTTGATAGTTTGATATGTTTAGCCCTCCAAATAGCAACACCTGATAGTGCCCATGCTGTTGCTCTCTCCCTCTTAGGAAATGTGGCCTTTTGAGTTTTGCCCTGTCAGATTCTGGGACGTAGCCCAATCCCAGTGTAGCTACAACCTGTATACTTTTATACAGGCCACTTTATTCAGATTCTTGACTTTTCAGTTTCTCCTGAATAACGTAGATCCTAGTCCTCCATGTCCTCTAACCTCTACAGGTGAAGTAGTACCTTAGATTTCCTCTCTTTTAACTTGTGTCATATAGGAAAGTCCTTTCCACGTGTCCACCTTCAGCAGAGAGATGGAACTCACAGTGCACAGTAGCTCTCCTGAAAGACATATTCAGATTTCTTCTACTCTTTTTATATCCTCATATTCCTTATATATACACCTAATGTGGGTAAGGGTTTAAGAGTCTGGTTTTATCATCTCCTTTGTTTATTCTTTAAGCAGTCTATCATGTTCACTATTATAATATCTCAGTATTTTAGCAAAAACTTCTATTTTAACATGTGTTGTATATTTAAAAACATTAATTGCTACATAGAAAGCCATCACCTATACTATAATAATTTATAATTTTGCTTTAGACTTATCCAAAATTATATTTGACACCTTTTTTTATTCCCCATAGCATTTAATTCATTGATAATGTCTTAGAAAATGTTCACTGAAAACAGATTGACCTAACTTGATAAAAAGTAGAAAGCTATTAATTTTTATCTTTAGTTTCAGGTGCAGCATTATATTTCTCAGAGTCTGGTCACACTAGGAAGTTGCAGCTTACTGAGAAAATCTATTATATCTCTGCTTCTATCAGAAGTAAACAGCTTCATTGATGACCTGGAAACCATTAATCAGGTACTGTAATTTGAAACTGTGGCTATCATTTATAGTTAATGTAGCCATAGATTTTTCTTTTCTTTCACCTTTTTCTTTCCTCTGTCTTTCCAGACTGATCTTTTGGTTTTTTCCTTATCTCTCATGTATGTGAGTACTGTTACTGCCTACCAAAATTACAGAAATGTACTTTCAGGAAATAGTTTTCAAAACAATTCATCTCATTATGCTTACTTATATTCATATATCAAAAGTGCCGTTGGTGACAGCAGAGGAGTACTTGTGTGAATGGTCTTAAATTTCCCCAGCCAGCCAGCACGTTCTTAAAGCAAAGCCATGGGAGAAAAGTGAACTGGAGAGGATCCTAAAGGGAGTATAGCCTCTAGTCTGGTGTCTCTCAACCTTTGCTGCTCATGAGAATCATTTGGCTAACTTAAAATATCACATTGGTAGGCTGTACACCAGTCTAATTATATGAGGGTCCCTGGGGTTAGAACAGAAGCACTGGCATTTTTAAAGCTCTCTGGATGATTCCAATGTGTAGTCAAGGTTGAAAACTAGTACTTTAAGACTTTTTTATCTGTGCTAAAATTATATATATCACTTCTGACAAATATATGTAGGGAATTTTAGTCATTCCTATATTTAAATGTTGACACTGGTTTATTATACGTGTTCACTTCATCAGGCCATTCATATTCTTACCAGCTTTATGGTAAGATTAAAGATACAATTAAAGGAAATCAAATATGGGTACAAATGTTTTAGAAAAGAGAAATAAGAAAAAAAAAAAATATATATATATATATATATATGTGATTTTTAATAGCTTTTAAACAAGTGTTGTTATTAGTTGCTGTTGCATTGGCTTTGAGTCATGGCATCCTCTATTATAACGGAACAAAACATTTGCCAGTCCTGTGCCATCTTCACTGTTGGTATGCTCACGTTCATTATTGAGACCATACTGTATGTTGAGTGTCTTCCAACTGAGGGAGCTCATCTTCCAGCACTGTATCAGACTATGCTATTGTGACCTGAAGAGTCGTCCATGGCTAATTTCCAGAAGTAGTTCTCTGGGCCTTTCTTCCCAGTCTGTCTTAGACTGGAAGGTCTGATGAAAACTATCCACCATAATTAACTCTGCTGGTTTTGAAATATTAGTGACATAGTTTCCAGCATTATAACAGCACACAATCCACCATAGTAACACAAACTGACAGACAACTCATTGTTTAACCAAAGACTTACATCTAAGTTTTGTTATTTTAATCCTTTAGTGACCCATGGGATAACTGTCACCCACCAACATTTTCATCCTCTCAGGTTTATTGGGAAGCTCCTATCCCAGTTTTACTAACACTTGGCATGAACTTGTAAAATTACAAAAGTCTGAAGAAGCAGGCTTCACCCCACCAATCCTACACCAGAGTCCACTTGGGACATATATGTTCCACATAATTGTATCAAAATCCATATTACATCATTTTTTTCCCTTGATTTCAGCATGCCTTTCATTACTATAATCACACGAATCAACAAGAAGGTCAAAGCAGGAAATAATTTAGTCATGAAAAGGGTAATGATATTTTCTAAAAATATTTTATAGTTAATTGAAATTAGTGTGTGTGTATATATATATATATATATACCAGCAGGTTTTTCAAGTGACTAAATGCTAAACTGTCTTTAAGAGCTATGTTAAATACAGAAAAAAAAAAAAAAAATGAAAGAGCAAGAGAGAGAATCATTGCTATTCTTCTTGCAGAGCTAAAAATCCATTTGAAGAAAGAAATAAAGGACACTAACTAATTGAAAAAAAGTAAAATCCCTTAATTATGTGGTGCTGCTTGTAGGAGTTCTAACATTAAAAGTAGTGAACAGGTTAGGTTACAAGTCCTTGGAAAACTACATGGAAAAGAAACAGTTTGAAAAGTGGATTTAAATTAAATGTACAGAAGAAAAAGAATGTAGTGGCACTGCAGTGTTTTTTGTCAATATTTGTGCCTGAGGTGCTGAAGAAACAAGGTGAGGTCTTGACATTTCAAAAGAGGAAGAAATGTGACAAGTGAGATTCATTATATTAGATTATTTGCTTTGAGAATAATTCAGAAATATAATTTTCATTTATATGTTGTTGATGTTATTAGGTGCCATCAAGTCGGCTCTGACTCATAGTGACCCTATGATCAGAAGAACAGAATACTGCCCAATTGTGCCCTTCAAAATCCTTGCTGTATTTGAGCCCATTGCATTTCTGGAAGTTCCCTGTCAATATACTGCTACAATCATTTTTTAATTATCCTCAGCAAGATTTCACTTGTGTATGATATTGATGATATTGTTCTATAATTTCCACATTCTGTTGGATCACCTTTCTTTGGAATGGGCGCAGATATTGATGTCTTCCAGTCAGTTGTCCAGGTAACTATCTCCCAAATTACTTGCCATATGTGAGTAATTGCCTCCAGTGTTATATCCATGTGTTGAAACATCTCAATGGGTATTCTGTCAACTTCTGGAACTTTGTTTTGCACCAGTTCCTTGAATGCATCTTGGACTTCTTCTTTCAATACCATTGGTTATTGATCATATGCCACCTCCTGAAATAGTTGAATATTGACCAATTCTTTTTTGTACAGTGACTCAGTATTTTTTCCATCTTCTTTTGATGCCTCTTGTGTCATTCAATACTTTGCCCATACCAAAAAAAAAAAAAAAAAAACCTCACTGCCATTGAGGCAATTCCAACTCATAGCGACCCTTTTTTGGGGTTTCTGAGGAGGTGAATCTTTATGGAAGTAAATTGTCCAGTCTTCCTTCCAAAGAGTGGTTGGTGGGTTTGAACTGCCAGCCTTCTGGTTAGCAGTCAAATTCCTTAGGCACTATGTCATCAGAGTTCCCATTTTGCCCATAGAATCCTTCAATATTGCAGTTAGAGGTTTGACTTTTTTCTTCAGTTCTTTCACCTTGAGAAATGCCAAGCATGTTCTTCCCTTTTGGTTTTCTAACTCCAGGTCTTTGTAGATTTCATAATAATTTACTTTGTCTTCTTGAGCTGCTCTTTGAAATCTTCTGTTCAGCTCTTTTATCTTCTCATTTATTCCACTCTCTTTAGCTACTCTCCATTCAAGAGCAAGTTTCAGAGTCTCTTGTGATATCCACTTTGGTCTTTTCTTCCTTTCCTGCCTTTTTAATGACATTTTGCTTTCTTCATGGATGATGTTCTTAATGTCATCCCACAACTCATCTGGTTTTCAATCATTGGTATTCAGTGCATCAAATTTATTGTTGATATGGTCTCTAAATTCAGGTGTGATATAATCAAGGTCATTTTGGGTTTTGAGAACTTGTTTTAATTGTCTTCAGCTTCAACTTGAACTTGCATATGAGCAGTTGATGGTCTGTTCCACAGTCAGCTCCTGGCCTTGTTTTGGCTGAAGATATTGAGCATCTCCATTGCCTCTTTCCACAGATGTGGTTGATCTGATTCCTGTGTATCCCATCCAGCAAGATCCATGTGTACACCTGCCATTTATGTTGTTGAAAAAAGGTATTTTCAATGAATAAGTCTTTGCTCTTCCAAAATTCTATCATGCAATCTCTGGTGCCATTTCGATCACTAAGGCTATACTCTCTAACTACTTGTTATTATTCTTTGATTCCAACTCTCACATTCCAATCACCAGTAATAATCAATATATATAGACAGCATGATTTTTTTTTTCTTTTTCAGATAACAGAAGTTGGTAAAAATTTTCAATTTCTTCATCTTTAACTTTAATGGTAGGTCCATGATTTGAATAATAATATTATTAACTGGTTTTCATTGCAAGCGTGTAGATATTATTCTATCACCGACAGCATTGTACAGGTATAGATGTTGAAGTATTGATTTACATATTTCCATTTAAATTTTACAAGTTTTATAATGTAGGGTTTTTTTTTTTTTTTAATCTAGTTTCTAGTTAAAACCCAACCAAAAATTGGTAAAGCATCTTGACAAAGAAAGAGAATGTGGTCAAGCCATAATTGCAACTGAGTTTTTCTGAATCTTATATAAATTTAAAATAATTATTACTTTAATAATAATTACAGTTACAAATAATATTACTAGTTTTTGGCAGTTAATGTATGGTAAGTGCTTTACATGAATTATCCTATTCAATCTCTTAAGCAACCTTTAAGATACTCATATTTTTGTTTAAGAACAAGGAAACTATCAGTCATCATTTTTCAATAGTGGACAAAAGAAACTTTTCTAGACAACTGAAGCAGAAAGGGATTAAAGGGAGATAGATGTGGCAGTCTGCTTCTGTAAAAGATTGACAGGCCTAGAAACTCTGTGGGGCAATCCTACTACATCTTATGGGGTCTGTATGAATGACAATCGACTTGATGGTGTTGGGTATGGAATTGTTGGGCAAGCCTAAGAAGACCTCAAACTCTGCTTCCATGAATGGCTTCTGTAGCCACATAGCAAAATTTGGTCCCCAGAGGAACTTCTACTCTTACAAAATTAGAGAAGTTCTGAGACACAATGGAGAAAAGTATCTTAGTCAAGGTAATCAAATAAGGAAATCTCAGTACAGGCTTCTTAATGATCCCCTACCCCCATAAGAAAGCCTCCAAATGGGCATACTTAGACTAGGAATATAGGTATGTATATAACCGTGGCTGGCCCCAGGCAGGGTGAGCTGACTCCTTGACTGAAACTCTCTCCAGAAAACCATAACGCATTGGCTGTACACCAAAATGTGACATGGGAGGGCAGACTCTCCCCATGAGATCTCCCAGGTAAAGCCTTTGTAATTGCCTGTAATGGGGCTTGAGGGATCATACACAGAGTTTGAGCTGGACTCTTCAATGACTAGGTAGCTGTCTGCTGAATCAAGAAACTGCTGCTACAGTTGTAGCCTCTAGAAAAACAGTGTCTTCCCACAACATCTAATAGCGAAATTTGAAATAATCTTGTGCTCAGCTTCTCTCCCTTTGTCACTCAGTTTCTCCCTTTGTCACTC